CGCAGCGCCATCTCCCGAGATGCGCCTTCACCTGCTCCTGCTACTCGCGCTGTGCCAAGCCGGCCACGTTGCCCCGGCGCGCAGCTACAGCTTGCGGGGAAGCTGGCGGATCCGCAACGCAAATGGTTCCCTAGAGCTGACTGGGACAGTCCCCGGCTGCGTGCACATCGCTTTGTTCCAGCACGGCCTGATCCAGGTACTGTGTGCCGCGGATTCGCAGTGAGCCGGCGTCCGCGTTCCCCTGGTGGTCAGAGGGACCCAGGAACAGCCTGGCAGCGCTCGAACCCTTGGCTGTTCTCGTCGCTTTTGCACTAACTTTTCCTTTGGATCTTCTGGTGGAGAGAAATGCCTAGACAATTATCTGCCGTTGGCAAAGAGCACCTCTCAATCGAGCTAGATCCGAGACTGACGGACTCAAGCTGGAGCATCAGTAATTCTGGAAGGCGGAAGTTTAGTTAGAGAAAACGATTTCTACCAGCAATTTCTTTATTGCTGTAGTTCTCCACAGAGCTACAGCAAAAGACATGCTGTATGCCAAAAACATGTCACTGACAAGGCATAAAGGGGGGAGTACTGTCTCGACTATTGCTAAGTAAGGGTTAACGTTATCCAGTAGCCTCTCACGGTTTCACTTTCGCTTTTAAATCACTGGAAGTCGGGTTTTGGAATGTTGCATAGAGTTTGGAGAGAATGAGAAGGACAAGAGTAAAATAAGGATTAGCAATGCTAGGAAGAGGATAAATAAGTTTTAAATCTGGGATATGAAGAAAGCTGCTGTTTCTTTTCAGGGTATGAGTGTGTGTGTCCCAGTAGATGCTCCAGTTCCTGGGTCACTGTGAGCAGCCACTTGTGGAAGACACTTTCCTATTTGGCAGCGTGTGTGCATAGGCTTGCAGACTTCTGTATTCCACTGCTCCTGCGGTTCCATCTGCTGCACGGCTTTTTCCCATTTTTTATAGTTTTTGCTTGGGACAAGATGCACGTGATAAATGGTTTGCATGCATTAACCTAATTCTCATACCAACTCTATGGAATGGTTATTCTTGTCTGGACATTATGGGTGCTATGGTTATGGAAGGAGGCCTAGTGGCTCAATGGTGAAGCTCTGTACAGCTAAACAAAGGTTGGCGGTTCGAACTCAACCTTTGGCAGCTCCGTAGGAGCAAAACTTGGCGAGCTGCTCGCTAAAGATTAGCAAATCCTGCTGTTGTCAAATCACGTCTTTATGGAAGCAGACTGCCACGTCTTTTTCTTGCCCAGTGGCTAGTGGGTTGGAACCACGACCTTTTGGTTAACTACTCTGCAACCAGAGCTCCTTTTCCTAAAGAGTACTACCTAGAAAACTCTATGGAGCAGTTCTGCTCTGACATGGAAACCCTATCCGTAGAAAACAACTGGAAGGCACCTGCCAACAGCATAACTATATGGAGTTAAAGAGACAGAAAAGATACAAAATTTGCCCGAGATGGTACAGAAACTAACTGGCAGATAATGGAATTCTAGCACAGGTCTGCATGGCTCCACAGTCTGCATTCTTAACTACTATGCTAGACTTGGTTTTTTTGAAAACACATGTGTTTTTGAGCACTGTGATTAATTCTCAGGAATAGTATTCAAAGTTTACTTAAATGACAGGACAATCCACTAAGATTATGCAAAATTTCTGAATTGATGCTCTTTACTTTTTACTCCCACGAATGCATATCAGAAAGGAAGTGAATGCTAGATGTGACATTGATTTCATTTATTTTTTTAAGTAAATAATTCTCAAAGTTAAGTATTTTAAGTATTTTTAGTTAACAAACTACTTGTGACATAGACCACAGGTGATCTGACACACTGAAGCTTCACTGCTCTTGCCTTGAGAGTGTCTGTTTATTTCACAGGGTCTCTCCTTGTCTCTTGATCCCTGGGTCTGTCAAACGGTTTGCACTTGACCACTAACCTAAAGATTGGTGGTTCAAACTCACCTAGCAGGCTGCAGACGAAAGGCCTGTTGATGTGCTTTCTAAAAGATTACAGCCAAGAAAACCCTATGGAACAGTTCTACCCTGAAATATATGGGGTTGCCATAAGTTGGAATCAGCTTGATGACAATGGGTTTGATTTTTTTCCTCCTTCCTTTCCTCATTTGACTGACAGAATTAAGCCACTGGGAAATACTTAATGCCCTTAGCAAAAGTGAACATGGACACATGCTACAGATGTTTGGTTACTTCTTAATAAGCATGAGGTTGTTCATAGTATGAAGTAACTAACTTTTCCTCCTTGGGAATAATTTACAATGTCTGTTATATTTCTGGGCAAATTCTTAGAAAAACTGTTTCAATAAGGTGAATTTAGGTCTTAAATTATGTTTGGATAGGAGAGGAGGGAGGCGTTTTGGGGGATTAGAGAAAATCCTATTGAAAATAATCATTAGTATTAGTATCATTATTGAATAATATGATGCTGTTTATTGATATTCTAGCTGCTTTTTGGTGTTGACCTTTTGGGTGTTGACCTCAGGAAATATTTGACAGTTTATACTAGGTGCAGGGCAAAATACTGTTTTTACATGAGAGGTTGGAATAAATTTTGTTACAGTCATTCATTTAGCTAATGAATTATCACATAATATGGGATATATTGGGAGCTCTGGTAGCATAGTGGCTAAAGGCACTTGACTGCTAACCAGAAGGCTGGCGGTTCAAACCCACCAGCCACTCTTCGGAAAGAAGATGGGGCAATCTACTTCTGTAGTTATACTGCCTGGGAAACCCAAGGAGGGTCACTATGAGTCAAGTCCGACTCAATGGCACATAACAACAACAACAACATGGGATATATTATGGAATAAATACTTACCTACAATGTTGTTGTTGTTATGTGCCGTCGAGTCAAACCCGACTCATAGCGACCCCTCCTTGGGTTTCCGAGGCAGTATCACTACGGAAGTAGGATTGCCCAACCTTCCTTCCGAGGAGTGGCTGGTGGGTTTGAACCGCCAGCCGTCTGGTTAGCAGGCAAATGTCTTAGCCACTATGCTACCAGAGCTCCCACCTACAATGTAGCCAGCACTATTTTAAGTGCTTGAAATGGAGTGGTGAAGAAAATAGTTTTTGCCCCAAGGGACATTCTAGTGGAGAAGATAGACAAATTAATAAACAAATTAATAGATAATATAATGATTGCTGATGCACTAAAGAAAAACAGGAGGGTAGAAGAAGAGACAGTGAAGGCTACTTGGGAGGATTTGCTATTAGAGACATCCTTTTAGGTAAGGTGGCTTTTAAGCAGAGATCTTTTTGATAAAGTGACTTTTAAGTAGATGAGCATTCCCTAGAGAGAGGAAATGAAGGGTGTGGTGTAAGGATAGGCCCTAAAGTGGGAACATGCTTAACAAGTTCTAGGAATTATAAAGAGGCCAGTCTGGCTGGAGCACTGTGAGCCAGTTGAGAGGTAGAAGATGTCAAAGTAGGCATAGGGTAGATCATGCAAGGTTTGTAAGCCATAGGCAACACTTTAGATTTTATTGCACATCTGATGGGAAGCTGTTGGGGTTTTAAGCTTAGAGTTGCGTGATTAGATTTGCCTGTTAAAGAGATTACTTTGGCTGTTGTGTGAAGACTACAGTGGCACAACAATGGAAGCTGGAGGGTAAGATGGAGGAGTAGGCCGACTAGCAACACAGACCCTCTTCAACAAAGAAAAGAAAAACCAATCTACAGAGATACAGAAGATAACCCTGGAGCCCTGAGCTTTGAAAGGAACTATACAGAAATGGATTAGGCACCAACTAGTAGAAAAACCTGAACGAAAACAGTGAGTACAGAGACGATTGGAGCTGCGGATTGTCAGCTACTCCGATGGGACCAACAGCCTGTATAGTTCCAAGTGGTGTTGGGACCTGAGAATTGACCTAAAAAAGATCAGCCCTGGTCACCAAGGGCTGCAGGGATGACTGTGCTGGTGGCCTATGATTAGGAAGGGAAACAGCAGGGTGGGAGACAACCTGAGCTGTTGCCTTTCTGGTGTTCAGAGGGCACAGCCATTTTGATTGTTTACATGTAGCAGCCAGTTTGGATATTTAAATTGACTGAGGTTGCAGCCATTTTGAATGTTTACAAGCGGTGGCCATTTTGGATATTTAAAGTGACTGAGAACGCAGCCATTTTGAATCTTTACAAGTGGCAACCATTTTGGATTTTAAAGTGATAGCATCCTCATTCGGATTCCGGGGACCTAGAAATAGGCTGTGTTTGCCAAGGGCGGCAGGGACACATGAGAAGCTGACAACAGGAAAGGAGACAAGTGGTGAGTGTGTAAGTGCTGCCCACTAGCAAATAGAGGAACACAGCATAGTACCCTACTTGCATAGATAGCATACAAACAAAACAAAGAAAATGAAAATCATGGGCAAGTCACTCCAACATACAATCACCAATTAAGTATAAATACAAAAATGTCACAATGCCTTGGAGAGAACAGCACATCACAGTCCACACAAAGAAGCAAGATAAAGCAGGAGAAACAAGGGATCAGGATACAGACCCAAAATATATCCCTGAGGAAGATGCAGCATTGGAACTCCCTGATAAGGAATTCAAAAGAATTATATTTAGGTATCTTTAACGAATTGAGAAACAGATCTAGGAAAACACAGAAAATCCTAGAACAATTTCGAAAGACAATACAAGAACAAAATGACAAAATAAATGAAAAATTAGAAATGATACACAATCTACACACAGAAATCCAGAAGATTAATACTAAATTTTCAGAAATAGATAAGACATCGAATGGGCAAAGGAGCAGAATTGATGTAATGGAAGACAGAATTAATGAGATTGAAGACAAATACCTGAACACTTCTTTGTAAAGGGATAAATCAGAAAAAAGGTCAAAACAAAATGAAGAAAGCCTGAGGTTCATGTGGGATACCATCAAAAGGAATAACCTACATGTAATCAGAATTCCAGAACAGGAAGACACAAATAAAACCACTGAGAAAATTGTAAAAGATTTGTTGGAAGAGAATTTTCTTGGTATGATGAAAGATGAGAATATATCCATTCAGGAAGTCCAACGAAGCCCAATGAGGATAGACCCCAAAAGAAAATCACCAACACATATCATCATCAAATTCACCAAAACCAGAAACAGAAAGAATCATGAGAGCAGCACGGGAAAAACAAAAAGTTATCTACAAGGGGC